ATCAAAAATTTCGGTCAAAAATGGGAGCCGAAGAAAAAACCAATAGTGTTTCTGAGAGAGCAGAAGACGGGCTATCTCCCCATGCATTTATCTCGATTTCGAAATTTTTGACGAAAACTGACTTTTTGAGGGGGAGAGGGCCTTAAGAGAATACAGAAGAAAAATAAAAATCTCGTTAAAATATATAATTACCTAAACTCTCAGCTGGTCGCGCGATACCTGAAATCTAGTAATCGCCTCCATCTGCTAGCTAAGAAAGCCATATGTTGTGTTAGTCAGTCCACTGACTATTTTAGTTGTGGAGCATTTTAGTGAGCCTTACTCGGTTTGAAAATGTTCACCTGCCATGGATAACAGTCAGAATTCTCGTACAATAATTGTAGCTTTTATAATAGTATTAGGCGTCGATGGATAATGAAGCCAAAATACTGATTGTTAATGCGCGCACAACAGTCAACAAAAGCCAGTTTATGAATAGAAGTCAACTATCACAATCTATAGTTTATAATTTTTAGAGTATCTTCCATTCACAATAAGAAAGTGATATTAAATTGGATGATGTTTATTAAAGAAAAGAAATATAATACGCTATTAAGAAAGAAATATCAAATTTCAAAACTTTTCTTTATAAAATCGAAACTTATGACGCGCACATTGTTCTCTGATACTATTAGCCATTGATGATGGTCCACAGAAGAAGACACTTATTTGACGCTGACTTGAAGAGAGTTGTCTGAAAACATCATCCCAGTTTGGTCTACCAACATGCGTTTTTGCGTTTAAACTTGTGAATATGTCAACATCTTTTACTTCTTGATATATTTTTGAAACTAAATCGAATGGTGCCGAACCGATACTTTCATCATTCTTCATTGCCGTGAAATATAAATGAGTATCTAGAAATTTTTCATTTAAATCAGAATCCTGTAAAAATGCAGCTTGTTCATTTTCAAAACCACGCAATAAACTTAAAAACCATTCGAATGATTTCACATCTCGATTAACCCAAATAAAATCAACCTTTTTTAACGTTCGTTCGTTAATATCTGCGTTATATGATCTTCTGTTACAATGTCTACAAACAATTTGAGATGCACGAAATTGTGCCATTAAGCTTGATAGAATTGAAGCATATGGAGTAATGCCTAAATAAAATTGAACATGAAAATAAGAATAAAGTAGAGTCTTTAATAAATATTTTATTTCTTCCTTTTTCTTCCTAGTTTTATTATTGCTTAACTACACGTTTCCATTAATTAAAATCTTCATCAGTAGTCGACAATATAAAACTCAACTTCGTACATAGCAAACAGTAAAAAACGCAAGCCAAAGTGGAGTCTTAACGGAGTAACTGTTTTTTATTTATTTCTCAGGCTTTTTGATGTACCACCGCTCTATCCTCGAATATAACTGCAAATAAGTCACATTTTAACGATTATTCTTTTCGAAAGAGCTTCTTGTTGTTTCGACTGAAGCATCGTGAATGATTTTTAGTCTTTGTTAGCCGGCAGGTTCTTCTTCTGAGGGAACATTTCCGGGTGGTGATACGCTCCGTTTAAATTCATATTTTGTTTTGATGGTATAGATATAAACTGTAAAAGAGTCTGGGCCATTGCTGCTTGGTTGTAGAGAAACGAGTGAAACAACTTTCTCTATAGTTACCATCACTGTGCTTGTAGTAATTTTTGTTCTTTTTATATCTCAATAATGACCATTATTCTGAGCTGAACACGTTTTTGCAATCTCATCTCATATATGACTATTTACAGTTAAAGTCTCAATTCAATCGGACTTGTCATTCGCGAGATACACGGCTTCTTATATATATACTGTTTTTTATGTAGTTAGACCAAACGAGAATCGAAAAAGGAGACTGTTAGCCATTATTTTTACTGAATAATATCGATTCGGCGCGCCGCGTAGAGGCCAACTCCTTTCTCCGATGGGTTAATAAAGAAGACCACTAGTAAAACGGAGTGGGAAAACATGATCTAATACAAACAACGGTGCCACAAAAAGACATGATGAGATAGCCACTACATCATAGGTTCTTTTATATATCAGCAATCGCGCTGTTGTAGCATCTAGATCCGTTTTAGGTCTCATGACCTAACAACAGATGTGAACGATGTTTAGAATAAAAATACTAATACTACCCACTCGTTCTTACTATTGGTGTTACGCCGTAACGTATCAGTTTTTACCGGGCTTTCGTATCAGTTTTATGCGGCTTTCGTAACAGAATAGTTATGTGCCAAATCCATTCCAAGACGCTTTTTACAGGGCTTTCGTATCGGTATTGTACGGGCCCTTCGTATCCACATTTTTAAGCGGCTTTCGTATAAGGTATGGCTATACATTAAAGTCTGAGTGTTGGGCTTTCGCACAAGACTTCTACAGGGCTTCTATAGTGCTAACTCTGTCACAGAGAAAAGGAACGGCAGAATCATGCATGAACTAAGTGCTTGCCTTGAACTCATGGTCTCTTGTTTGTTAATACTATGTTTATTTTCTTTTTCAATTGGAAAAAGCCAACGCTTTAAGAAATTACTTGCTGTAGAAAAAACTGAGCGCTCTTATAACTCTGTTGACATGCATTACTAGACAAAGCTTTTCTTACGCAAGCCCAGTATTGTATAGACACTCGGGTACGAAAGGCCTGTATACATCTCTTATGAAAACCCTGCTGATGAGATAGCTGAGACATTAACTATTACACAATAAACACTGGGTTATGAAAGCCCTGTAAGTTCTAAGCGAAAGCCGTGTCTTTTGGAGGAAATCGTTACGAAAGCCTCGTCTCCTTTTTAGATACGAAAGCCATGTAAATACCTTTTGCGCGGATTTCGTATCAAACAAAAGACGAGATTTTCAAAACGTGACGAGATGATAGAAAACCCTAGGAAGTGCTTCTGACGGTTATTCAGCTATTGAAAAAAATTCAATGGTACAATAATATAAGCTCTCCATACCGTACATAAAATCGAAGACAAAAACTTTCGATCATTTTTACTTTGAAAGCAAACTATTGCCAAGCAGTTAGTACTTGAAAATAGCCATGAGACTTATCATTTAGAATTGTGTGGGTTGAACTTCTTGATAAGGTTTTTATATGAGACCAAGCTTTAATGTATAAGAAATACGTAACATTTTTTACTCGGCGTAAGGCAGAGATGGAACCGTTTAATAGAAATTCAATCGGATGAAGCCTTAGACTTCATGTAGTAGGATGTGCATGTCAAAAACTTTCTATAATTTCTGTCTAAATCTATTCATCTATCAACAATGACCACAGACATACATGAAAAGGCACAAGTGGAAATAGCTACACTCATAGAATACCTTCAGTTCAGAAAAAATCTTGACTCAGTTGATTGAGAGTCTACCAAGCATCTTGTATACAGGTGCATACAACCTTCCGTTCTCTCTAGACAAAGGTGTATTAAACTTCACCGAGTACTCACCCTTCTTCTGCACTACACATATCTCGGATATACTTACCGATTCCCGCTCCGATTAATACTACGTGTTGACAATCGAATATATATCTCGCACATGATGTAAATGGTCCATTTAGCCAAATTCTTTCTTTTATTTTTTTTGATTGGGGATTTATATTGATTTGAGGTATTTCTATATTAGCATATTGTGCATCAGAAAGAATTTCTGGACAAGTAGCTCTATGCACAATAACACCGTATTCATTCTGATTCTCTAGATTTGTATAACGATTATAAACTTGTTTTGTCCAGTTTCCTACAGCTTGGATATGAAACTTAATGATATCTTTTTCTTCTGGTGCTGAACTAATAGTAAATGGATGCCATTCATATAAAGCTATTGACGGTATATTAATAAATACCCAATCGCCAGGCTTAAAATCAAAATTTGGAGGTCTATGAATAGCTAACGATATGACATTCGATTGTTCAACTGTTACAGATTTTAAATAAGTATAGCCTTTCTTTGTTGAATACCGCGTAATTAATGAATATAATTTTTCAAATATTAATATAGCTAATGGACCAATCACAAATTTCCAAAATTTTGCTGCATGAATAATAAGTACTATGTAAAACGGTAAAAATAACAAATGCGTCCAATAGAATATTTGAAAATGACCACCTCTTCGAACGAATTGCATTGAACATATAATAATAACAGACAATATCAAACACAGTATTACACCAGTAAGCGGTGCCGAACCTTTAACCCAACCGACGCCCCAAGTGGTCGTAAAAATCATTTCTCCCCAGCTGTGTTCTTTTCATGAAATAGACAAAACACAATTATCAATTATGAGAAAATAGAGTCTAAATTACATTAATCTATCGAACGTCTGTAAACTTTCCTCGTTTTAGGCTCTGTAATCAGTTCTCATAGAATCTATACCACATTCTGACAAGCTCGTTATACGAAATTTACCGACAAGCATTTTCTTGAGATAAGGGTCCATCTCGAAATTCGTGTTTGTAGAAAAATTATCAGAAACGATGTCAGAGCTAAATCTTAATATATGAGCTATAACATAATTTCACTCATACAATCGCTCAGACAAATATGTACTTTTTCTGCCAATTAACAAGCGGAATCATTTCCTAAGAGGGGTTCTTGACTAGCATGACTTTCCGGTTTTCTCTTCGGGTCATGGTAGCCTTAATTCTGCATTATTTATGCCTTAAGAGTTATGTAAAACAGAGCTGTGCAACTCCGCTGACTTTCAACTCCAACTCCGTCTCCAAATTTTCGATCTAGATCCAGCTCCAACTCCACCCAAAATTTTTCAACTCTACCTCCAACTGCGTCAACAAAAATCTTCACTCCAGTTGCTTCACTTTTGTAACGAAGATTTTCGGTTTTCAGCAGGATTTTGGACGTTTTTCAGCTTTTTCCGGTCAGAAAGCGCAAAGAACTTTGGAATTCACTCGTGAATACAGCCACTCAATTGCTTCGAAGATCAGTTTTCCAACCATTGAATATTTCCGAAAAGGCAAAACGGAATTGAGAATAAGAATTCAAAAACGCAACTTCAACCTCCTAAAATCTCAACTCCAACTCCACCAAAAAAATCCTCAACTCCGGAATTGGAGTTGTCCAGCCCTGATGTAGGGTATTGCTAAAACACGCGAACACCCACG